CTTTGGCTATTTAGAAAATTTGGTTGGTTGCTTTGGTCGTTGTTGAATTTTGAGAATTCTTCATATACATTGGCTACAAGTCCTGTGTCAGCTATATGATTTGTGAATATTTTCTCCCAGTCTTTCTTTTCATTCCCTCATTTTAATTTTGACAAAGTCCAATTTATTTATTCTTTTATGGATTGTACTTTGTCTTTTAGCTTTGTATCTTGAAACTGGATTTTTATATGTTAAAAGCCAAGTTTATAACAAATAAATTCTTTCTTTATAACAAAAGAATAAATTTCTTCTGGCAAGAATAGCTAATCTATAAATAGTACATTAGCTATAGCTTCTAAATGTGACATCAAATGAGAAGAAATTAGGTAATTTATTTTGGGAGAACCAAATTATAAAGATGAGACAAGGACCTAATGATAATGAATTTTAAAAACTCAGAACTAAAGTCTTTTAGATCTTATACAATAATACCATATAAATACATGATATAAGATGCTCCATGAGGATTTAAATACCCACTTACTTATTCATCCATTTATTTAAAAAGTTTTACTAAGCATGTACTATGGGCCAGGGACTGTGTTGTAGATGAATATACGAATACACAGATAGAACTTTGGACAATCAACAGATTATAACACAATGTGGTAAGAATTATGGTTGGCGAATGTTCAAAGTAAACCATGCATTTTTTTTTTTTTGCACACGAAGTGGTTTCATCACACTTATCTCAGTTTGCAATCATTTATTTGTGTGACTTGATTCCATGCTTGTCTCTCTCATGGTGTGTTTCAGCAGGGTAAATACGATGCATGTTTGCTTCGTTGTGGCTGGCACATCATAGGAGTTGCATAAACAGTTGTTGGATAAATAAAGTACTTGCTATTGAAGTACAGAGAGGAGGAGCTGCTAACTCTGCCTCTGTCAGTTTTGAAGACTTCTTTAAAAAGGTGATATTTGAAATGGGTCTTGAAGCAGAGGTAGGACCTGCTTGGGGGCTGGGGAAGGGGTACGGGAGGAAGAGAGGAGCAGCATTCCAACGCTGTACAGCCTTAGCCGCAGACATGTGAAGTCACAGAACACACGTGCGAAGGACAGAAGGTTGCAGGGAGGCAGGACCATCCCGCGTGGAGAAGTGGGGTGGGCGGCAGGAGATGAGGCCAGCATGGAAGGCTGGGTCAGGCTGCGAAGGAAGGGCCTTGCCAACGAGGCTGGGTGTGAACTTCATAGCAATGGAGTTGGGGGACTCATGGATTTTAAACTTTAAAAAAAAAAAACATTTATTTGAGAGAGCGAGAAAGTGAGAGAGCAAGAGAGAGAGAGAGAGCAGGAGGAGGGGCAGAGGGAGAGGGAGAGAACCAGACTCCCCACTGAGCAGGGAGTCCGATATGGGACTTGATCCCAGGATGCTGAGATCATTATGTGAGCAGAAGGCAGATGCTTAACTGACTGAGCCATCTAGGTGCCCATTAGCTTCTTTTTTTTTCTTTTGACATTCATTCATTCATTCATTCATTCAGGAGGGGGAAGAGGGGCCGAGGGAGAGGGTGAGGGAGAGGCAGAGAATCCCAAGCAGACTCCACGCTGAGCGCGGAGCTCAATGTGGGGCTTGACCCCACGACCTGAGATCATCACCGGGGCTGAAACCAGGAGTCCAACCTACTGAGCCACCCAGGCTTCCCAGGTTTTAAGGTTTTCAGTGGCATGATTACCTTAAAGAGAGGAGGCAGTATGGGGACTGCTTGGGGGGCAGAGGAGTTAGGGCTGAAGCCGGTAAGAAATGACAGGGGTGTTGCAGTGGCATTTGAGTCACAGAGGAGGACAGTTCTGAAAACTATTCCAGGAGACAGAAGTTATGGATTTAGCGATTGATAAAATGCGAAGGGTAAAGTAGAAGAAAGATTGAATATATTAGCTTTTATGATGCCTGAAGAATATTGTGCATTGGGAATTAACATATTTAAATTTTTTCCTGATTAGTAAGTATCACATGTTCTTTGGAAAATAAAGTATAAGGAAGAAGACCAAAAAAAAAATTATCTATTTTCCTAGCACACGGAGATAACCACTGCTGACATTTCAAGGACATATCTATCATTCTTTAAAAACACAAATTTGAAAAGAGAGCCTAAGGATTCTATCTCTGCCGGGGACTCAACTCAGAGTCTCATGAAGTGCATGGAATATGCTGAACTTCATTTTGAACCCAAATATTAAGTTTTGACTAAACTATGAGCTGAGCCAGTTTTGCAAAAAAATCAAGTGAACTGGGTGCACGGATGGGAACTCTGCAAAAGGAATTCCCTGGAAACTCAAAGAGTGACAGGGATGACAAGCAGCACATGCTGTCAGAAGTGCCCCACTGTAAGTTGCCAGGTCCTCTGCCTAGTAGCCCAGGGCCACTCCCAGGCTTCCCGGACCCATTCCTGTCCAGCTCACTCCCCCGTCCAGCTCACTCCCCGGTTCAGCTCACTCCCTGGGCTGAGCCCGGCAGTGAGGCACCTCGGGGCCTGTGCGTCTACAGGAGAGCTGAGTACTTCTGCCTGGGAACCGGGTCTGCACACACCGGTGCACAGAACTAAAGAAGAGATAATTTTTCTGAAGTCCAGGAGCTGTTAATCAAAACTATCTCATCCAAGTCCCTTCCAAACAGAGGGAATGGGAGGGGAGTTTTAAAAAAAGGTATTTGAGAAGCAAACCAGATGACCATAGGGGAAGGGAAAGAAAATAAGCCGGAAAGAGAGAGATAAAGAGACTCTTAAGTATGGGGAACAAATTGAGGGTTGCTTGGAGGAGAGGTGGGGGGTAATTGTGTGATGGACATTAAGGAGGGCAGTTGTGGGGGGTAATTGTGTGATGGGCATTAAGGAGGGCAGTTGTGGGGGGTAATTGTGTGATGGGCACTAAGGAGGGCACTTGGGGGGGTAATTGTGTGATGGGCACTAAGGAGAGCAGTTGTGGGGGGTAATTGTGTAATGGGCACTAAGGAGAGCAGTTGTGGGGGTCGTTGTGTGATGGGCACTAAGGAGGGCAGTTGTGGGGGTCGTTGTGTGATGGGCATTAAGGAGGGCAGTTGTATTGAGCACTGGGTGTTGTCTGCAACTGAGGAATCGCTATATTCTTCTGAAACTAATAATACGCCATACGCTAATTAGATTGAATTTAAATAGAAAAATTAAGAAAGATCTTTTTTCCGTTGAGAGGAAGTAGATTCCGGGAGCAGGAGGGGTCGGAGCAGGCCTACCTGGGAAGACGCTTGAAAAACAAAGTCCAAGGAGGAGAGGGGCCTCCCGGTCCACGCCGCGCCCTGCGCCCTTCCCCCTCCGAGGCTTTAGGTCCAATCGTCTAGTCCAGGGGACCCGGGTTCACATCGGGGGAGGGTAAACTCGGTGCCTCCCGGGAGCCTGGGGGCGGGGGCGGGGGCGCCACGTGGGCGCGCGGCCGGCAGCGGCCCGAGGTCCCGCCTGCCCGGAGCCCCGGTGCCCGCCGCCTCCCCGCTTCCTCCCGCCGCGGGGCGCCCGCTCTCCTGTCGGGGTCCGCCCGGCTCGCAGCGCCGCTGGCTTGCAGCTCGCAGGTGCTGCGGCTTCCGCGCGGCCCCGCGGGGGGGCGGGGGGACCCGGGGGGGGGGAGCGGGACCCGGGGGGCTGCGGGGACCGGGGGGGAGTCTGCGGGAGCCGGGGGGGCTGCGGGAGCGGGACGGGGAGCGTCTTCGGGAACCCTGGAGTCTGCGGGAGCGGGACGGGGGGGGGCTGCGGGGACCCGGGGGGCTGCGGGAGCGGGACGGGGAGCGTCTGCGGGAACCCTGGAGTCTGCGGGAGCGGGACGGGGGGGGCTGCGGGGACTCGGGGGGGCTGCGGGAGCGGGACGGGGAGCGTCTGCGGGAACCCTGGAGTCTGCGGGAGCGGGACCGGGGGGGGGGCGCTGCGGGGACCCGGGGGGGGGCTGCGGGAGCGGAACCGGGGGGGTTTGCGGGGACCCTGGAGTCTGCGGGAGCGGGACGGGGGGGGCGCTGCGGGGACCCGGGGGGGGCTGCGGGAGCGGGACGGGGAGCGTCTGCGGGAACCCTGGAGTCTGCGGGAGCGGGACGGGGGTGGCTGCGGGGACCCGGGGGGGCTGCGGGAGCGGGACCGGGGGGGGCGCTGCGGGGACCCGGGGGGGGGGCTGCGGGAGCGGGACCGGGGGGGGGGTTTGCGGGGACCCTGGAGTCTGCGGGAGCGGGACGGGGGGAGGCTGCGGGAACCCTGGAGTCTGCGGGAGCGGGACCGGGGGGGGGGCGCTGCGGGGACCCGGGGGGGGGGGCTGCGGGAGCGGGACCGGGGGGGGGGGTTTGCGGGGACCCTGGAGTCTGCGGGAGCGGGACGGGGGGAGGCTGCGGGAACCCTGGAGTCTGCGGGAGCGGGACGGGGGGGGCGCTGCGGGGACCCGGGGGGGCTGCGGGAGCGGGACGGGGGGGGGGGTCTGCGGGGACCCTGGAGTCTGTGGGAGCGGGACGGGGAGGGGGGCGCTGCGGGGACCCGGGGGGGCTGCGGGAGCGGGACGGGGGGGGTCTGCGGGGACCCTGGAGTCTGCGGGAGCGGGACCGGGGGGGGGCTGCGGGGACCCGGGGGGACCCCGGAGGGCGCGGTGCCACGTGAGCAAACACCGCTCCCGGGGCGGGCCTCGCGGCAGGTGTGCGAGTCCAGGTCGGCGCGCCCAGCCGGCAGGAGTTCGCGGGCTGGGGCTGGGGCTGGGGCTCGGGCCGGGCTCCCCCACCTGGGGCGAGCGCCGCCCGCCGAGGGCTCAGCCCCCCCCCCCGCGCTGATTGGAGCGCGGCCCGCGAGGCAGGCGGGCAGGCGGGGGTAAGGGGCGCGGCGGGGACCCGGCGGGGGGGGGTGGCGCGGGCCCCCCGTCCTGGCCCCGCCCCTACTGGCCCCGCCCCGTCTCCCTCCCTCCCTCCCTCCCGGCCCCGCCCTCGCGGCCCCGCCCCCGGCCCGGCCCCGCCCCCTCCGCTCCCTCCCGGCGCTCCCCGGCTGGGGCTGCGCGCTGGCGGGGCTCCGCATTGCACACTCTGGGGGCGCCGCAGTGTTCGTGGGATGGGGCGGCGGGTTGGCGCTGGCGGCCGGACTCCGCGCGCAGCCCGGGTGAGTAGAGGCGGGCTCCGAGCCGGCGGCGCCCAGCGGTGCGGGTCGTGGGCCGGCGGGGGGCGCCCGCCGCGGAGCCGCCCGGTGCCCGGTGCCCGGAGCCCGCGCCGCCCTCCCGGGGCCGGCATCCCGCCCGCGGCTCGGGTCCCGCGCGGCCGGGGCGGGTCTGGGGGGGCGTGTGCGCGGGCGCGGGGCGCGGGGCTGCCCAGCTCAGGGCTGCAGGAGGCGCCCCCAGAGTCGCCCGCCGCTCCCCGGGCCGAGCGGACGCCCCGCAGGAACTCCGGGCGGAGGGGGCGGAGGGGCGGAGGGGGCGGAGGGGCGGAGGGGCGGAGGGGCGGAGGGGCGGAGGGGCGGCGCCCCCACGTGTTGCTGCGGGGCCAGGGCCGTGGGGCGCTCAGGCCGGGCTGCCGGGGCCTCCGACCCCTCCGACCCCTCGGACCCCGCCGCCCCCGCCCGCAGCCTGCTCCGCACCCGGCCGCGCACAACTTGCTGTGTCTGGGGCCTGCCGGGCCCCCCGCCCTGCTGTCCCGGTCCCTGGCCCCTCCCGGGGGGCCTCCCTGTCCCGGTCCCTCGCCCCTCCCCCGGGGACCTGCGAGGATCCCGCCACCCTCCTGTCCCGGTCCCTGAGCCCTCCCCGGGGGACCTGCGAGGACCCCACCACCCTTCGTGTCTCTGTCCCTGGCCCTTCCCCAGGGAACCTGTCCCTGAGCCCTCCCCAGGGGACCTGTCCCTGAGCCCCCCCCTGGGGACCTGTCCCTGGCCCTTTCCCTTCCCCAGGGGACCTGTCCCTGGCTCTTCCCCAGGGGACCTGTCCCTGAGCCCTCCCCGGGGGACCTGTCCCTGAGCCCTTCCCCAGGGGACCTGTCCCTGAGCCCCTCCTTGGGGGACCTGTCCCTGGCACTTCTCCGGGGGACCTGGCCCTGGCCCTTCCCCGGGGGACCTGTCCCTGAGCCTTCCCCGGGGACCTGGCCCTGAGCCCTCCGCAGGGGATCTGTCCCTGGCCCTTCCCCAGGGGGCCTGCGAGGGCTCCCTTCCCGGCTGAGGGCGTCGAGGCGGCCCAGACCTCGGGTGGCGATTTGCTGGGGGCAAGCACCGACCTCCCAGAGCATATGACAGCAGGAATGCTCGGCCTCTCCCTCTGGTAACCTACCCCAAAGTGTGACCTCCAAAATTCAATTTTCTTTGTGCAAGACCAGGGAGTTTCGATTCTCCAGGGAGCAGCTTATTTCTTGTTAAATTGAACTACAGTGACATACACTGCGCTCTGGCCAGCCGGTGCAGATGCCATGATATCATTAGAGCAATTCCCTTAAAGCCATTACATTTTCTTTCGAGTGAGAGGACTCAGGATAACTGCTTAAAATTTTGGGTCTGCACCTTATTTCTCTGGGAGACGTGAACAGTTCCTGTATATGTGCTCACGTGTACCAAGTTTGCAAAAGATATTTGTGCGCCGGTCCATTAAATGGCTTAATGCACATTTACGTTAAACCCATTTAAATGTAAAACATCTATCCGTTTTCAATTTTAGTTTCCACCTTGACCAAAGGCACCGGACTGAAACAGGACTTAAAAGAGGCTTCCTTGTTTAAACAGAGGTTTTACAGAACTCAGGTCCTCAGAGCGCACAGTAAGCTTTCTGAGCCTGTAGGTACACAAAGGTGGCTAAAAACTGCGAGTTGGTTCTTTGGGTTAAGAATATGGGAAATGCTTCCAGACCAAAAAAGGTAGATAGGATTTGTGGGTCCGTATTTTGAAGCTGTGGGCAGTCTTTTTAAGATGAATGTTTATATTACAGAATGCATAATTGGGGCTGAACACAGGCAACTAATGCCAAGTAGAAAACCATGCCATGTGTTGTGTCATGCCGTACATGGCACATCAAGATCTGCCATTAAAGTGCCTGTGAGGAAGTCACATTTTTTTCACTCCCATTTTACAGGTAGGATAGCTGAGGATCTTAGAGATTATGATTTTTCCAAGGTGAATAGTAGAGTTCAAGTCAAGTTTTTTTCTATTTTCTTACTTCCTTTGCTTCCTTCCTCCCTCCTGCCCTTCCTTCTTTCGTGTGGGCTACATTTTCAGTGTTTTCCTATTCCTAATTTCTGCACCTCTTTTTTACTATTTGGCCCGTGGCTTCAGGACCATTACGTACCATTCCCAAAAAGATTTGGTCTCTGCTAAGTATCATTTAACTCCCTCAAAGATGTAGGCTGATAAGGATTTAGGGAGAAAGCCCATAGTGTTTTTAAGGAACTAGCCTTTTCGAAAGGGGTATATTATTTTTATCAATGAGTTGTTAAATATACAAGTAATCAAAGCCCTCAAGAATGATGTCCCAGTGGTAGTGTTCCAGGAAAATCAAGGAGCCACTAGTGACAGAAATGTTTGTAACAGGGACAGAAATACATAAGTCTGGCTTTCTAAGCAGAAGCTCCTCGTAACCTCTGTAGACAATTACAAGAAAGACCTAATAAATGATTATTTCATTAGTACCATTCTTATGTTAAAAAGAGTTGACAAAACAGATTACTTAAATAAACCCGGAAACCACTCAGGAAAAAAAAAAAACATCATTTATCAAAAAGTCCTGAAATCCTCATTAATTAGTGTACAGATGCAACAGCAGATATTGATTAGGGAGGAATCTTGTTTTTACTTGCATGGTTAGCAATAGGGAGCACACACATATCTATCCGCCTATCTGATTATTTATTAAAAGCCTGTCATTTACAAATCTTTTCTTGGAAAATTATCGCTCACAATATTTATTTGTGCCGTTGCATAATATTTGTTAAGATGAATAGAATTGATTTTTGTCTGTCTTAATGTAGGTAGGCAGTGAGTTTACGAGTAGTAAGTCCTAGTTAAGTACGTGGGCTTTGGAAGCAAGTCTTGGCTTCACATACGAACTGTGGGACCCCAGAAATTAATTGACCTCTCTGTGCTTCAGAGAGGCACATGAGAAGATACGTAGGTTTTCTTAAGTGTAAAACATGAATAGTAATGACACCTACCTCATGCAGTTTTTCAGTTTCTCCGTATGGCAGTACTCAGTGAGCACCTACTGAGTGCCAGCACTGCTAGAGGTGCTAGGGATACGTGCGCAAACTCTTTGCCAGGGGTGTTTGCAGGCTAGTGCCTGAGAATTAATGACATGATGATGCATATCCAGTGCTTAGCATGGAACTTGACACCCAGTAAATGCCCCATGATAGTTAGCCCTTGGTATCATCCATTCATTCTGGAAACGTTCACTGAGTGGCTCACAGATGCACTGCAGATTGGAGCACGTAATGATGAATATATATATTTCACTTCAATTCAGTTTGATGTTATAATGGGAGAGAGGACTCCAAAGAAAGACATCAAGTACATAATCAGTTCTCTAAAAGACAATTCAGTGCAGACATGTCAGAGGAAAACAATGGAAATAAATACTTAAAAATTAAAGTATCCATAAGAAAGTGGGGAGTGTATGAATTTCCTTATAGGAACTTATGATAAAAAAAGAAGGTCTTGTATTCAAGCTATTTGAAACACCGATTACATAGGAAAAAATAAAGAATTCTTACTTAGATATATGTAATGCAAAAGAAATTTTTGACGGGTCAGATAACTGAATCGAGCTCTCAAAGGGTGACATCTCAGGACACAAAAATGAGAGAGCCAAAAATGAATTTGAAAAGATCCTTGCAGTGAATTCCTAAAACAATAGTGAAAGACTCCTAAATACTGTGAAATGAGAATTGTAGAAGCTCCTGGCTTACATTATACCAAGCATATACTCAGAGAAAAAAAAAAAAGAATAGGGTGTAAATGAATTCTTGGCTCCACCTTTTGCTGAGTAATATTCTTAAACCCAGGCTTTCTGGAGCAATAATCACATTGGAGGAAATAGAGCAAATGGTAAGTGCCCAGGATATTCCAGACCTAATCCACAGATTAGATGCAGATAAAGACCAGGTGCAGATGCCCTAAGTGCAGATGCTCTAAGACCAGGTGGCTATTGCCCAAGTGTGTTGAAGAAACTTAGTGTGTAAGTGACAGCTCTCTGGAGCATTGGTTGGTGTCCTTAGGGTTCCTCTCAGGAGGAGGGTTTAAGGGAGGACCCTGGAGCCATCAGACCAGATCTGTGTCTCCATGGACAACTGGGAGATGGGTGTTCAAAGTCAACACAGATGACAGCAAGTGCAACCTATTTTGTAGAATGAGGCAAGAATGGATTGGAGTTAAAGGAGGAAATATGTTTGTGGCTACGGCGTTGCAGAAAATGTGATATTTTTAAACTTTCAAAAAGCCTAGCCAGATTTCAAATCTCAGTTCCCTCCCTGTTCATGACCTTTTTGTTTGGCCAAGAAGCAAGAAACAAAGAGTGAAGGTAAATAGACACTTCTCTGAGTGGACAAATAGGCTCTTCCAGGAAGTAGTTTGGGGATGATTTTATTTAAACTTTTATAAATGTTCACAGATGGCATGCAGTTCTTATGAGTAAGTAAAAATCAAGCTGATAAAGTTGAACCATAGGAATAACTTAAAAGACAACCTAAATGGGAAGAAAAATAATAGAAGATTAAAGGCAAAATGGAAGATTGAGGATAAGTGTACTTGGGAAAAGCAATCCCAAGCACATTTCTAGGAGATGGTTTTAAATTCTATTCCCATCAGCAGTCAACAGAGCAGGATAACATGCTCTTAACCCTCTAAAGAAAAGTGTGTCCGCCAAGTTAAAGTCAATATTAAGAGGAGAGTAGGATATAAGACTGTGTAACTGTGATACCATGTTTTGAAAATGTGTTGTTGAGTAAGTTCGTATAAATCCTCTCTACTGGTTCATCTATCTCGGTAGAAAGCAATGCATCACCATGTTAACAGTGACCATCTCTGGGTGGTATGGGATTGCTAATGTTTTTTTTTTTTAAAGATTTATTTATTTATTCCTGAGAGATAGGGGTAGAGACACAGGCAGAGGGAGAAGCAGGCCCCCCACAGGGAGCCCA